GCTGCAATATATGAGATGGTTGAGAAGATGGATAAACTTGAAAATAAGTCAAAGCATGTTAAATGGGTTGGAAATGAAGGTGGCTAGATGAATGAGTTTACGGTATTTGTCAAAGTTCCTCAACCAAAAGTATTGTTGAGAACGCGTCATCTACGACAAGTATCAACAACAAATAGAAGAAAGGATGCCACAACTGCAGAGTCTCATGAAGTTTGAAAATTCAATTAAAATCCAAACTCCATTTGTGGAAGGTGATTGTTTTCCAAAAACAATTTCAATTTGGAATACAACCTCCATTGAGCTCTTGGAAAGATGTTTGAGTACATATTAAATGTCACCTTTGTGAATCGCAGATGCTTAAACTTGTCAGGTGGAGTGTAATGGAATGGGGAGTTCAAAATGGGGGTGGATTGCTTAATATATCTTCTTTGCTCTTTGATTTCTGGTTATTACACTTCATTAAGGTCAAGAATGATTTACGTGAAAGGGTAATGACAGGATCAGCCAATACATGCAGTACATTAGGGTGTTAAGAAAGAAGTGGCAGAAACAGAGCTAAGAAGGGTGTGCCAGTTTTAAACATATCATTACTGTTAGTTCAATTAATTAAAATTAATTACTCTGTTATTAGTATTTGTTACACTGTTTCAACATCTATTTTCATTTATTATTCTTATGTTAGTTGATTCTAGGTTATTCGGCCAAGAGGGTATTTGTAGAAGGTTCTCGTTTGTATTGAGAAACTAATCAACATCTCGAATACAAAAATTCTCAATCGTCACTCAGATTCGACTCTGCATTCTCTTTACTACTGTTCTAAATTCTCATTTCTCACTTATCTTCTCTATTTCTGCTGCAATTCTTCCTTCTTCCTCAATTTCACCCAAATCAGGATTAAGATCCTGACATATGAAGATATCATAATTATTTCAAAAGATAGTTAATGACGGCAACTTACCTTAACATGCCAATCTGGTGGAGGTGACTCAAAGCCAATCTGCTTAAAATCTAATTGGTAACCATCTCCCTAGTAGACTTTCACCTGTCAAGTAACAAGATAGCAAAGCAAATAAAAAAGGAGAAGTGGGGAATGGTTTCTTAAATTTTGAAATCATTCTCACCTTTAAAATTTTCCTCACAGGCACTTCTGCTTTCAAATAAGAAATTTGGCCAGGACCAAATTTTAATAGAGACCAAGGCTTTCTAACATAGCCACACCCTCCATTCGATTTGAACATCCCATGCATCAACCAAAGGTTTCTACCATACTCCTGCCATTGGACATGAGCTTGCTAACTTTGGAACTAGAAAATTATTATAATGCATGTAAAAACAAGTTTGCAAAATAAACTAACATGATTCACATACTGAAGAATGAAGTTTATATCTAATCAGGAGTGATGTGATAAAGAATGAAGAGCAGTTTTGCTTCCCCAAGGATACAAAGCGACTACGCAGTAGTATGGTAAACACTCCCGAAGGGCTTGTCCAAGGCCAGGAATCGGTAACTAAACTTGGATGTCGATTGAAAAAGAGGAAGAACCGAAAGGTGACTGAGACAAGAAAGTCATTGGACCTCATGGCAAAGGAGAGGCTAGGCCCGAGAATTCCACCTCTACGGGAAGTCTGGGACCTCGTGTGGATCTGGGTGCCTATCGGGTACACTTATGCGAGCGGGTATGTGAATATCAGGAATTACCTGTGCTTGCAGGATTTCAAGGAGAACCCGCACTTGAGGGATTTTTGGGCTTGGGCAGGAGGCAGGCAGGATGTGCGGGAAGTCCTTTCCTTGCATGCTTGGCCACGCATGTGTGCGGAGCACCCAACCGCACACTTGCAGGAGCAGGTGACACGACCAGGGAAGGCACGCACGCACGAAGAGCCGCGTGCGCACGTGGACACGAATTGCGTGTGCGCAAGCTGCACCCACCCCTGCAGCTTGGCGTGCATGCCTCTCGCACATGAGGCATGCTTGGCAGCAACCTGACTGAGAAAAGGACTCATTTTTGCATATTTTATATGTGATTTTATCCAAAAATCACATGTGATAATACTGCAATATTTTATTAATTTTATTTATTATTATTTTAATATAAATCTATCCCTCATAATATTTAATTAGTATTTTTAAGATAAGGATTGAGATAGAGTTTTGTTTTATTATTTTTCAATTATTTGTATTTTAAAAAACTGTTTAGGTGATCAATCTTGTCAGTTGTACTAACATGTGCATACCTTACGATCTTGGGGGAGGCGGACTTTAGTCTATCCACAAGCAAAACCAAGCTTTTCTGATGAAATTGGGTTTTGCTATGGTTGCGAAGCTCGATCTACTATGGGTCCAGATCTTCACCCACAAGTACAGATGGCCTGACTAATCGCAGAGTTACAAGCCGACGGGACCATCTTCCATCTTTGGCGCAACCTTAATCATCTCTGGACCTTCAAGTTGGCATCAAATGGTCCATTGGATCGGGGAGAAATATTGGGTTTTGGGAAGACTGTTGGTTAGGGGACTTGGGGCCGCTTAAGCTTTTGGCTTTTGCACCTATTGATGAGCAGAATCTCCATAAATGTGTCAAGGACTACGTGGTGTTGTCCGGCCAATGGAATTGGGAAGCCCTACACCAGGTTTTGCCGATGGGCACGTTGCTCCAGATGGCTGCAGTACCAACCCCTAGAGATGACAAGATCCCAGACTCCTGCTTTTTGGGTATGACGAACTCTGGGTTCTTTTCGGTTAGCTCGGCTTACGGCCTACTGGAGAGCGATCATTGGCACCCGGCGGATAGGAATTAGAGAGACATTTGGCATTGCTCAGGTGCTCAACGGGCGCATACGTTCCTCTGGTTGGCTGCTAAGGGGAAGCTCTTGACAAATTGAGAGAGATACTGACGTCACATGTCCTATACTGCGAAATGCAGTAGGTGTGGCGACCCTATTGAGAATGTGGATCATGTCCTCCGTAATTGCAGTGTGGCTAAACTGTTGTGGTTGAAGATCATACCTACTGAAACCTAATAAATGTTCTTATGTGGTACTGTGGATGAGTGGTTCGTGTTGAACCTCAAAAACAATTGACTCTGGTACAAGACATTTCAGAATTGGAGAGTGATATTTGACCTTACTTGCTGGAGCTTGTGGAACCATAGAAATAAATTTATTTTCTAAGAGAGTGAGAGCAGCATCGATGAGCTTGGTAAAGATGTGTCCCTCATGACTGATTATACTTTCATGGCTAATAATATGAATTTTTGTTTTCTTTCAGGTATGACTCACAGGTCGGAAGAACTTATAACTTGGTAGAAACCTCCCAAGGGTTGGTGGAAGGTGAACACTGATGTTGCTTATTGTGCTGCTACCAATCTCGCATGCTATGATGGACTTATTAGGGATGAGGATGGTGCTTGCCTGAGAAGCTTCAGCAGGAAGATTGACATATGCTTGGCAACGCTTTGTTCTTCAGGCCGAGCTTTGGAGTGCTTTCGATGGCCTTCAACTCATTTGGTATGCAGGGTTCCATAATATTATTTTGAAAATAGATAGTGTTTTGGCAGTGCAGTCACTTATTAAGGAGGATTAAGACACTAATGCGCGTGCCGCCCTCGTTCGTGAGATCAAGCATTTACTATTGCAGGATTGATAGGTCATGATCCAACATGTCTATCGCGAAAGAAATAAATGCACTGATTGGTTGGCAAATGCTAGCTTCTCTCTACTAATGAGCCTCTACTCTTATGTTTAAGTGTCCAATGATCTCCAACAGCTCCTCACTGACGATATTATGGGTGTCTCTTGGTCTTGAATGTGTATGACGATTTCTTAATTTTTTTTTTGCCTTTTGCCTCTCCCTGTACAAAAAAAAAAACTGTTTAGGTGAAAACCTATAAAAAGGCTTCACCATTGGCTGTAAAACACACATATTTAGAATTCAACAAATTAAACTTTTTGCTTTAAATTAGCATAGCTAATTTTAAGAGTTCT